ACTAAATATAAATTGTAATTCATATAAATTAACAACAAAAGACATATTTTAGTCAGCTTCATTTGATAGCTTACGTAGTACTCTTCCAATGTTGGGAAATTGAAAAGTGTACTACTTGAAATTAAGATTCTATATTCAAACATATTTCGTGTATTTGCAACTAAATCTGGAGACTTGTAAACGAAATGACGTCACAACTCGTGCTAAAAGTTTTTGAATTTCTAGAGAAATACGTTTTTGGAACAAATTTAACCGTGATATTCTTATTAATGCCAATAAACTACACATTCTTAACATTAAAATTTTTTCGTGTCATATACACTTTAAAGTAATAAAGATCAATAAGCAGCTAGAAATACTACAGACAATATATTTGTCATAAAGTAATTCCCAATTGATTTTGCATTTCTCTACCTTATTAGCGTTTGTTTTCTTTGCAAAACAAATTATTATCTCTAAGCTTCTCTAATATTTTCAAGGTCACTTTAACCCTAACGCAACCACAAACACGTGTTTAACCATATTATTTTCCTTTATCAATGCATTAATAACTAACGAATAGATTCAGTAAGTATCGAATAGTTACTACAAGCACTTTAAAGGTATCTAGATAAGAAAGTAATCAGTTATTCCATTAATATAAATAATATCAACCCCTTCCATTATAACCAGCACATACTTCTAACCTACTAAACGGTTGCACTGGCAACGAACATTTCTTGTAATATTTTTGTAAGCTGCTTATACTCTTTTTATTAATTATGGACTAGAAATCGTTTATAATTTTGGCAAATCTAGTAAAGAGTCATTGTACGTGTGTTATACAAACATTAACTTCTATAGTTAGACATTTTTTACTTGTCTGTTATCTGGCGGAAAGCATTCACCATATTCAACTTCATATTAAAAACATTATTCATAAATTTTGATTGTTTGGCGTATCAACTGTAAACTCCAATGAAGGCAGTGTCGTAGCCACGTCAGTAAGTAGAGTTAAATATAATCTGTTCGTTAAAAACTTTAACTAAATGAATGTTTTAGTTGAATTGATTCTTAACTAGAAAGACAAACGATGGAAGATGATAAAAATAAGAAGAAAAGAGAGGCAAATATTCCTGAAAGAGAAGCAAACCAATCCTTGTTCTCTGCTCCAGTCATGATAGTCGTGATAGTCGCTTGTTTGGCTGGAATCTTTGGAAGCTTTCACTACTCGAATAAAACTTCTGTTGAATTGAAACAAGAGTCTAGAACAGACTTGAACGATGAGTACCAATCAGCTACTGTGGAGGACTTGCAGGCTGGATCCGGACATAATTCTGGGTACTCGGCGATAACACAACCCAGTACTGAACCAACACTTTCCTTTGATATAAAAACTATTGATAAATTTGAAAACAAGAATATATTAACTTCTGCTGATGGGAAAACGACGGAGAGAATGGATGATAAGGACCAAAAAGAGAGAGAAGAGACACCTGGTGCTGGCTCAAACACTCTTACATATCAGGAATTGGATAAGGAAATATCAGATTCAACCGAAAGAAATATAGATGAGGAGTATATAACCTTGGGAACTGATAAGAAGTCTGATACAATGACAGCTGTAAAGAAAGAAGAAGCAACAACAGAACCTGAAATAAACAGTAGTCCGTCAATGGAAGACAAAGCAGAAGCCTCTACAACACCAGAACAGGAAATAACACCGAGCATGATGACAGCTGTAAAGAA